ACGTGGAAGGTCAGGTTCGCCGGGTGGCGTGACTTTGACACCGGCGCTGACGCCTTCCAGATGTGGAACCGACACCCCTCACAGGAAGTACAGCCAACCAGATAAGGCGACTTGAAATGTCCCGCAAAATATTATCAAACACATTCTTTCACTTGACAATTGTGATTTTTTTTCTCTTTCTTAAAGGAACAGGTACACTTTCTGTCTCTGAAATTGACAGATAATAGTAATCTCTGACCAATTATATCACTTTTTTTACAATAGCCACCCGTATAGCATAACTAATCTACGATTTAGCAACATGACTGTGTTTGACATGTTTCCTTGGTAACAGTACGACAGACCGAGCACAACAACACTCGATTGTTTGAGATTATTGGCCACGTGCCCTGAGCTACTCTCGTACATAAAATGGAAACGTCTTGGCTAAATGCCCGGGAACGAGAGGGTATGCATGAGAGATTTTCAACCTTATGTCTGTTGAGCAATGCAACCACTTGTTTCATAGTTCTTACGTACCACTAGCTCATTTAAACTTTATCAAAGATTCTGCATTTAAACAAAGCAAAGCAAAGTATGTCAAGTTGCCATTGATACCATGTTTTGTTCTTCTGCGACGACGTAAAAGTGCAACAATTTTTAGAAATTGATATGTCAACGGAAAAAAAACGTGAGATATGCTTATCTTTTCATTTTATTGTGGTTGAGTGAAAGCATCAACATATTTATCATCTTTATCTGAGTCTTATGCAGTTTTCTGCGTGGGTATGAATCATAGTCTGGTCACACCGTCATTTCAGTACAAGATTGGTGTAATTCCACAGTACCTCCCTAACCATATTAGCCCATAGCCTTTTAACCACTGCTACTTTATCCGCGACTTATTATCTAACTGCGTTGATGCTCATGCCTTAGAATATAATCATTAATTGGACTTTGTGAAAACGTGGGTATACCTTGTCCCTGTGTTATATCATGTAGTACCGTTAAGCCTAGAGGCGCCTGTATTAAGTAACGGATTATCCTGGGTCCTTCTAGTGGGAGGGACTACATTTCCTGTACCTAATCCATCTGCTGAGGGGGAGAGGAAACCTTCTTGGAAGGGAAGGATGTCCGGCCGAAAAAAGGAAAAAGAGGGAAAATTCTTCTAAAAAGGAACTTGAGAAAGAATTAATCAAACCCGTACTTGAGAGTGGATATTTAAATTCACCGGCTCCATATCTGTTAAATATCACCAGACAAAATATCACCAGGTGTGGTTGTGACTCTCAAGTGTGTAACACGATAACTCCTGATGAAGGGAAAGGAATCCTTTTAAAAGCTTGATTTGGGCCTTGCCCAAGTACGTTTCGCAGATGCCTTTGCTTTGTTTTCAAACACCAGAGGCAAAGCTCAGGCCTCGGGAGAGGCAAGAAATATGTCTCCAAGGTCGATTCCACAGCGAGGAGTAAATCTGTAGACTCCTAGGAGGATCCAGGTGCTACTCTGGTCTGTCGACAAGAAGCAGACAAACTTGCACTTGGGGCGTATTTCTGCCATCTAATATTTCACGCCAAGCAATTATACCAAAACCTGCCTTTGCAATCCCCCCCCCCTCGCCAAGAGGGGTGTGTTTTTTAAGTGCATGATATGTATATGCTTGTCTGTGTGAACAGTATAACTCGGGAAGTTGTGGATGGATCCTAATGGTACGTATTTGGTAGGTTGGTAGGTTGTAACAAAATCTGGAAGCCAATGGATTTTCGGCCCCCTCGCGGCTTTCCATGGTACTTCAGCGGAATTTGCTTTATCGTCTCGTGTCCTAGACATGCTATAATACCCATTGGTAGGTAATACATGTGCTTCTTGTTCTAAGAAACATGTGACATGTTTGGATTCCCTAGCAGCTTGTTTTGCAACTGCAGGAGCGTTTTATATATATCTAAGTATCAAAAAATATAGAATAACATAGTTCAATATACTCAGGTCTTTCTGGAGTCTTAGCTACACTGATGATGATTAAAAACACTTTCTCCACACAAGTTATACACAGGCATGTCTACATGTACGGTTAACAGCAAAATCATTTATATACTCTAAGTTGTAAATCATGAACAATTGTGATTTGATCACATTTGCAAAACTATGACCGTAATCTTAAGCAAGAAAACTTTATTGGGCATTCGCCATTATACATATAGATATCGTCAGATAATAGCAAAGGTATGTGTCATGGGTATGTGTATAATATATAAGAGATGTTCTTTCATCGTGTTCCTCAGAACTCGGAGTAGCGATCTGCCGGCATACCGTCGTCTTACTCGCCACAGCTATATAACGATCGGTCCCAACATATTTGAGATATTTTCCTATCGCAAATATCTAGGTTCTTTTTATACTATCGATCGACAAAAGTTCAAGGCTTTCACAGAAGAAGCTGAAGCGAGACCCAATCGTAAAAAAAATCACCAGGAATTTGGAATGTGCTTGTGATATAAGTTATTGTGAAACCAAGAATATATAGTTCAAAGCTGTCTGTAGATGACACATTTAAACATACAGTTATCAAACTGCAAGATCATGGAAGCAACTAGACGGGACGAAATTAATACCAGGTGTGGGGAAAAGTGCCCCTTTAAGAAATTTAATTTGCCAAGTGGACAGACCAACAGCCTTGGGCCTTTGGTCAATTTTCCTTATGTTCTCAAATTGCTAATGTCCTCATTTTGCTAATGCTCATCAAATGTAGATTGACAACCGCATTGTTTCAGAGGAATAACTACTTTCATCACAAACCTATTAGCACTGTCGAAGTTTTCGGAACGTTTTGCCGACCTACAACATTCTATGCAGGACCTAATCTGGGCTGCATCAGTTCTACACGCGCCAAAACACAAACCCGCTTCACCGGTATAATCAGCAACAGTTTAATTTAAAGGTCGACCATCAATTAAAGTGCTTTCATTCGGGGCACAGACGACATTCCTCATATCTAGTACTGACTCACCTTTACCACAGTTGTCCTTATCTGCTTAACAGAATTCGGTGAAGGTTTCTCATAGATTAAGATAATCTGTATAAATGTTTATATGTAGACCACGTTACCTGCCCCGGTGTCGCCTGCGGACTGTTTTGCCCGCTTGTCGCCGGCCCCGACCAGTGAATCCTTCGGCGTCTGTTTGGACTGGATCCCGCCGACAGGCAGGACTGTCTCGTCGGTAACCGCCAGGGCACCCGTCTCCTTCTCAAACACCGGCATGTTGGTCTGTAGTGTGAGGAATTCCTTCAGTGGAGAGTGAATCGATGTGACCTACCGCTAAGTGCGTGCTGGACGGCCTAAATTCGCAGCCGGCTCCTATTGTGCCCTCTAGTGCGAATGTTGCGGACTTGTCCGACTTGCTCGCCCTATATACCAACTAGGCACCGCCTCCTGACACCTTCTTTGTAGGCCGGGCGTGGTGTATGATGACGACAAGTTTTAAACCGGTGTGTTTTCGGCTGTCAATCAATTTGAAAGTCTACGTAATTACGGAAAATTTTGGCAGCCAGGTTTTGTTTGGATTGAGCCTTTTGCGTCATGGTCATGCCCCTAGGGTCAAGTTAATTCCCACGTGATGACTAAGATCCATTTCAGAACCCCCGCCCTTCTCTTAAACTACTGGTCGTATTGCTACATGGGAGGGCATTCTTTGTTAAAGAATATAATTCAATTGCAACATTTGGGTATTCCAAAAAAGTGTAGGAACCACATATACGCAAACTTTACGTCATCGTAACAAAAACTGATTATTCGCTGACGTTGCTCTACCCCTGTACTCCGGAAAGGGGAGTGGCACCGACGTCTTTGTAATAGTGTCTAATGAAGAAGTGTCGAAAAGTGTGCCAAATACTGACAGAGAAGGATTAAAACAACACACAAACACAGGGAAGGAAAATTAATTGTCCTTATCGTGGCCTCGAAACTACATCATTAGAGGGGTATGTCTGAGTAAAGGAACATACACGTTACAGTGGACACTCCGTCTTATAGGCATAGGGAATCTAGAGCAGCTGGGAATGGGGTGGATTTGTGCAGCATACCTAATGTGGACCTGACATGTTCTCTTCTGTTGTCGTCTGTTCGCTTTGTTCGCAACCATTATTGCAGAATCAATGCAAACAAGCTCCTAAAGATATTGTCTAAAGGCATAACAATGAACGAACGAATGGGTGACTTTTATTGTACACACAAAACCACTACAAGTCACAGCAAATGAGTACGCATGATCAAGTCAGCATCGGCACCATAGTCTATTAACTTACGGTAAATTTGACTTCTTCTCGATTCTCTTTGATGGTGAAAAGGTAAGAACAGACATGTTAAGATCGATCAGAGGTTTACGTAATTGCTAAGCTCATAAGAACTGTGAATTTATCCAGCTGTCAGGTGTATGAAGTGGGGAGACATCGACGTTATCAGTCTATTACTTTCAACTCATTGTACGATCTACATTCTACTACAGTATGTTGTCACGTTCAACTTTAATGTTATCTAAATCAGAGTATCGACAATTGAAAATTCGTTGTTCCGCAATAACTTCACACTAGGCTTAGATGTATTGTGTGTTGATATTTTGCAGATAGGTAGACCTTGATAAGACCATGAAATGATTAGATTTTGGGCCACTTGGTGGCTTGTTATGGTACTGCAGCGAAACGTTCTGTTTTAATATCTCGTGATCTGGACATGCTAAAATCAGGACTTTTGGGTGGTAGATATTTCAGGATATTTTGGACGGCAGATTGCTCGCTATTTCTCTTATCCTGACCCGTGATCCTGTAGGTAGGTAAAGGTAAAGGTAGTCCCGTAGCCTTTTTAAGGCCGTATGGGCAGTGGGTCGTTAATCCTAGGGCAGGCGGATCCCATTCCTCTCCTTCCTCCGCCTTTTACCTCCCCAACCGAAGTCAGGTACCCAATTTACACTAGGTGGAGTGAGGAAAGTCGTGTAAAATGCTTTTCCCAAGGGCACAAGATCGGTGGCATCCAGCACTGATTCGAACCCGGGACATCTTGGGTCTGAGCCGAACATTCTACCGTTGTGCCACACGACCCCACTGTCGTGTAGACATGACCTGTATACGAGCTGAGAAATCCTCAAGGTAGTGTAAACTTTACCAATCAGTAGTAAAGGCCCCCTACTTAACCACTTGGGAGTTTCCAATTAAGTCTCATCAGTGATTGTATCTATAATAAGGATGTCCTTGTCCACTGTGTTTATCAGCTCTGTTTAACACATCGTTATCCGGACGGCCCATCCACGCCCTTTCTTGTCGCCATAGATAACGTTTGGACTGGTGTCAGGAATGCCTTACTTGGGAGACACTTGGCATTTCGACCGTCAGCACCTTTTTAAGGAGCACGTGGGCGTTGTAAAACAAGCTTAAGTCTTATCTATTGTTGGTAACTACAAAGCTGGTTTCACTACTTGAAGTGGAAGGAGGGGGAGGTCCGTATGACACATGCACTACTATTCTAATAATGCCCCCAGTTTCCGATCGTACGACGATCGTGCGATAAATATGACCACGACTTAAAGGCTCTCTTTAGACTGACGACGATTGAATAGTCGTGCGAATGATATCGTCAAGATGTCTCCGGCGACGGTATTTGTTTTGCCGTCGTCGCGCGACGGTAATCCTCGAGTCATCGTCACTACTCGGAACTTACCCAGGATAAGACTGAAACACCTTAAACCAAAGTGAATGGCCCCTTGTAAACTTCATAAACGAGAAGGTAAAAAGAGTAGATTAAAACAAAGCCCCAAACAAAGCCTCGGGCTATGTTAGCTTATATTTAAGATTACCACCGCACGTTGGTTTTGCACGAGTGACTTACTTAACGAGTGTTCTTAGTCCTTAATTCACCTTCATTAGTTGCCAGGCGTTCGGAGCCCAGATAAACCTAGACATGAAATGGCATCGGACGATACTGTTATCCGCCCTAGCACTGGTTGTTTCCAGTGGAAAATGAAAGTGGACTTCAAAACAATTGTATACAAAACTAATACATAGAGAGGGTGTGTCATTTGGCTCCAACGTATTGAGTGAGATAATTACTGTGACAATCTACCGTCTTTATCAGGCAGTAATTGTTGCTGCAGGGGTATACTGTAGAACTCAAGCAGATAATATTGTCGGTAACCTGAATTGTGCCTGTGTGTTCACAAAGGAGCCTATACAGCATCGTCTGTCTTCCTTTAAATTCTGTGATAAAGCGTCTTCTAAAAGAGTGAATGAATGTGTGATCTCTACATTTTATATTTTCTTCCACACATGTACACAGCAACCGACTTTTAGCACTAAATGCAGCTGAGCTATCATTGTAAATCTGTCCGTCGTCCAGGTACATGTAACTGGCGGTTTCCTTTCAGAATGTTGCTTGTAATTTTCATGGCAACGCTGCAAACTTTATTTCACCATTGCGTGCGATTAGACTGGTGGGTCGATCGGCTGACGACATTTCTGGCAGACATGCGATAAGTCTTGAAACCTTTTGATTGGTGACGTCACCACCCGTGAAATTACTAGTACCTGTCGGACAACCATACTGATTGTTATCAAGGCATTGGCAGCATTACACGACGTTAATGTTACAGTTTTACCTTTTGCGGGAAAAATCTACATGACAACAATATTGAGTACTCTATATCTAGCACAATCACACGATCAAACTAGTACTAGTGATGTAACTGATCCGAGGCCTTGAGTTGACGCCATCCAACCCAAAAGGTCAATGATTTCATCATCATCGGGTCACCATTCCAGCAGGTTTGACTTAGACCCGCTGACAACCGACAACAGGGCGGGTTTGTACGTCACGCGGGGTTCCGGAAGATAACAGGCTACGCACAAACTGATCTGTGAAAGTTCATGGATGAAAATTCATTCAAGGTTGATCCTGCATCTTCAAGAGGGCAACAGAAACAAATCCATACTGTTGTCCACATAACATAATGGCGTTCAACACACGTAGATTTCATATAACTTTACCTGTAAAATCTTACATTGAAAGTTCAGTCATCGACAACAGACAAGGAAAATATTACAGAAATTCAGATCGAAAATTTCATGACCTTGTCAGTAGTTGACCGGGTCGACCCCATAACAAACTAGGCTAGGGCCGGTGGGTTTTTACTTGGCTTGGTCGGGCCGGGAGACCTCAAATATAACATCTTTTCCTAGTTCTGAGTGACCTTCTCCTTGACACAGTGGCTCCAACGATTGACGCCATGCCATCCCATAGGAGTTCGAACCCCGACGGGTAGCATGTTATTCACACGCTTGCAAATACGTACACTACATGTAGCACGTATTCTCCTAGCCTCTACCGCTACCAGGCTCCCCAGGTTGCTGGAAATGTAGTAGAACCTAGTCAAATGATATGCCAGACGAGTCAGCCGGTGAGAGGCCAATACAATTTGCAGCCACTCACTAGGATGGAAATTGTACTCCTCTTCGGCAGTCTATTCAACCAAATTCTACCATTTTCCCAGCAACCTAGGGAGCCTGATACATGGCAGAGGCTAGTGTCGGAGATCTTAGTCTACATTTGGTTATATATGAATGAAGACCTTTATTGCACATTTCTGCCACACTTGGCCAAGTACAGGTCACAACAAAACAATATCAATGGACACGGTTAACAGATACAAAATTAACTAACTGTCGTTATATAAATTCAACTTCTCCTCGGTTTTCGGTTATTGTAGAACATATATGTGCATCCATCGGACAATAAAGTTGCAATGGGAAACGACAATATACCCCATAGCCGTTCCCAGCACTGTAATATCTGTCACCAGTGTACAATTTCCCTGAAAGAAAAAGGTTTCTGCACGCTGTTTGCAAGCAGCTGCTTGACCTTCTGTTCAACAGTTAATTGGAAGAACCTTGTGACGGGAAGTGTTCATTTGCCGTTACCAACGTCAAGGGAAAAATGAATTTTAGTCGGGGTTCAACTACTAGAAAAGCTCCTTTGTACCGAACAAACAACAAACAAATTACTCGTAACAATCTAGATAATGAATTTAAAAATGTAATTTCCGCGACTGACGTGATCAGTTCTATATGTCGACAGACCACAGACGTCATATTCGTCGTAGGAGGTCATACAATTTTTATTTTCAAGCAGGCTAGCTATGACAGGACCACCGACAAGGGTCTTAAACATCATTCTACGTTACAAGACAATTGAATGTTGTACGACACGTGCACGACTGCCCAAAGACTGCCTTCAGTTTGCGATCGTACGACGATAGCAAGGCGTAAGCCCTAACCAGGCAGTATTTCGTCGTCCTATGGGGCCTTTGCTGACCTGGGCCTTTGCCCAACAAGCTGTAGTTAAATTTTACAGATGACAAGACTTCGCATGCAATGTCGCAGTTTGTGACAAGGAGGGTGTGTGTTGCCGGTTCAAACAAAACCTGGCGGCGCGTGTGGCCGTTTCGTTGCTCTTGACGGGTTAATTACCCGTAAAGTAACCTTTTGGGGCGACAATTACCCGCGTAAACGCAGATAGGTAAGTATTTTGATGCCGTGCGATTTATTCGCAGACGCATTTGTGTCTGACGGAGCAGATAATTAACAATAACATTGAGTTCATTTTGACATGGACAGTTTTCTCTGACTTTTTTCGATTGTACGACGATCATACTAAGTATGTGATCGGGCTATTAGGTCCCGACAGCAGGTTCTTGCCTTTTCGCGTCCCACTCGGCACAACTCGACGAGATTTGAAAACATGTCAGCGCACTGTACCCGCGGGCCGTACGTGCGGCCTATTGTCGCTGTGAACTGGTGCAGACATAAGAGAACTCTTTAATCGGTAAATACCGGACAGATCCGCGCCCCTCCCCGGTCAGGAGTTCATGGCCGCATCAGCCTGAAGCAACGTTCAGCGCAATTAACGAGATTAAGTGAAGGCATAATTGTATCAGACTCTCTTTAATATCAGGTATTGGGGGGGGGGGCAATTTGTCATGATTTGACCAGATCGACAGAAGGCAAGGGCTGACTTGGAGATCAGTCTTACACACTTTATAACATAGTCTAACCTGCACTGTACATACTTACTAAAACTCTGAAAGAGTACTGGTAGATCACTATCAGTACCATGCACGAGCGCTCCAGGCGACGGATATTGGTACTACATACTCAAGCCATAGACATACTATGATTTACCTTTTGGAGGATTGAAAGAAAGAACCTCCCTTCCGCCCATTCCATCGTGCACTTTCGGAATAACACTAGCTCTAATCATTAGGCAATAAAATATCGCGCTAAAATGTTTATTCAAAAGTCTGTTTATTTGTTCCATGTGCGACAGACGAAAGAACTATACAGAAGTAGAAGGCATTTCTGATTACCTATCATGTATATGCGGGTACATCATTCCGTTCTCATGTCCACTTGGTACCACACACACAAGCACCGGTAATATTCACGTGGTTTCGGACCGAGTTCAACACTACGCTCTTGTGGGTCAGATACAATGACAAAGCCAGTTCCACAAGACAGTTGGAGTAGTTCAAACACTAGCCTGACTGATAAACCTAGCTTTTCGCCGGCTCCCTAGTTACGTAAGTCGGACCGGACAAAGAGCTTGGGTTTCACAGGCTAGTTCAAACACGACATAATTTTTATTTGTTCTGATAAATATATCCCTTTCCGCTATAAGTCGCTAGGCAATGGACATTAAAACAACACATAACCCAACATCTGCTTGGAGAAAACTCAATTAGCGCAGATCCACAAAGGCCAAAGGCATTAATGACGTATTCGACAGTTCCTCGAGGATCAATAGGGGTGCTTTGAATATTAAATGACCTATAAAATCCACTACGGTGAAAAAAAACGAGCATCATCTCGCGCATACTAGCAGACTCGCCAACAAAAGGACCACTGACTCCTCATACTCTGAGACTGGCTGTCAACACTAGCAGATGACACACCAAACTACATACGAATGCAGTAAAGGGATCATGAGTTATAGCTGAGAACGTACGGACAAAACTTACAGCCAATACTCCTTTCGGAGGTCACTGGCCTCCTCCATGCCATCATGCAAAAAATCATGGAAATCCATGACCATCCACCCCTTAATTTGATATTCACTTTGCCAACACTCACCAAATCAGGAAATATCTTAAGGATCCATCCACAACTTCTTGAGTTCATAACCCACAAACACATATAAGACACAAAAATATATTGGTAACTTTCTTGGTGAAATGTATCTAATGTCTACTCTGCCTTAGCTTGTGGCAGGTTTATAGATCGTAGAGAGCTGTTGAGGACTGCCTAATGTAACTCCTACCTCTAGAGTACTAGTGTGTGTAGCGTTATTGCGGAGGCTGAGCGCCACTTCATGTATAGTAGTCTGAAAGTACACACTTTTCAACACGCACTTCTGATTCTCAAGTAGCGGCCTTTTCCTCCCCTTCAACACTTCTTTTAACAACGTTTTCGATTTTCCTCAAAACTCCACTAGTACTGTGGCAGTATTTTTTAAAATTCCCGGCATCGTGATTTCCTATCCGTAGTGCAATACGGATTACATGTATAAGGGCTTGGCCAGGCCAGTAAAAGAAAATATCTTCAAGATGTTTGTGTAGATACATCAAATCCACATTTGACTAACCACCCACCCTTACGTCACAATCACGTTTCCATTTGTTTTCCTTGAGTAAAATTTTGGCTTTGTTAACAATGTTGCCATCGTGATGTTTTCGCACCTCTACACCTTAGCACATGCAACCGTTTTAAGAAACTGCTGTCCTGAAATGTTCACAACGTGCTATCATCGACTTTCTGTCCTCAGTTTGATGCAGACAAATTTTGTCTTCCATCTCTTACAGGCATAAGCCGTAGGGCAGGTCCTTCTTGAGGTAGACACATTGCAAGCCCGGGCCGCACGGACATCTCCAGAAGCTCCGCTTGATGTCGGACGGGTGGCCCTGCATCTCGTTGCTCATCTGACACGGCTGCCCTCTATTGCCCATGGGCTTACAGACGCCCAGCCCCTGGCGGGTGTCCCAGGAAGCGCAGCACGAGTCGTCTCCTTTCCATTTGATGCATTCTGAGTCGATCTCACACACCTGAGAAAGACAAACATTCGGACATCTTATCTAGCGAGAATAGACATAATAGTGACGATGGTGTTTATGTTGGCAAGCACAAATAAAACTAAAAAAAAGGAGAAGTTGGAAGCAATGGCCTCGCAGGGCTATGTCGCCGTTTCAACAGTGTAATAGCTGTTGCTCAGAAGTTACATGCGGTTATATTCTGCACAAATATTGCTTACTTGCACCAGAGCAATAATGTTAACACCCAGCACTCACTGAAATATTCTAGGAGACTGTTAGAAATCGTAAAGGTCATTTTGACTATGACATTACTATATGTATCACATCACACATCAATATAAAATATCTATGGCATTACAATGAGATCATTTATAGTTACCATAAAATATCTACGACATCACAATGACATCACTACTCACTCTAAAATCTATATGGGCATCACTATGACACCCTTACATTACTAATTTGTATAGAATCTCATCATGACATCACGATAACCTCAAAATTTTCTGACATCACGGTGACATCACTCATTTCTATAAAAATCTGTATGACATCACTATGACATCCTTATGTCATGTGACACATGTCCCTATGACATGTTTATGACACCACTATGCATTTTTAAAAGCTGATTATCTATTATGGGAGTTAAAATATTCTGTGCAATATAAAAAATCGTACATCGCGTCGGTGGAACAGAATTGAAATCATGAGCGCCAAGAAAATGTGGAAAAAGTCTTAACAATTAAAGCATTGACTTATGTCTTGCCTAAAGTTGAAAGAAAAGAACATGCAATGAGAAACAGAAAATCTTGGCAATGTGTAAGGGCAAAGGGCAGAGACGTATGACTCCAAATACTCTCAGTGACTCCTAGAGAAATGGTTGGGCAAATAATCGTCAATTTGAACGGTGACAATTGCAATTAAAGTAATGAAGATAAGGTCAGAAGTTGACTGAGCTAGATGAAATTTCTACCAATGACAAACCATTTGTCGTATAAAAAGCCTTAATATATTCCCTTAACTGTGAAGCTACATTTTCTCCCCTTTCCCCTGCTTGTAGTGGAAAATCCTTTTTTGCCCTTGTGAAGTGGACCTAGTCAGTGTGACAAGAGGCCGGCATTTCTGCAAGTGGACTGTTAATACATCAGATAATACATCACCCATTAGTGTGCGTTTGGGAGACTACTTGAAATGAAAAGGTACTGTGATTTGAATTGAGGTTGCATCAAAGAATTGGTGTGGTTGAAAAGGGGCATTGTGTAACATGTTTCATTAAAACTTCAAATGCCTTAATTGAAAAAATGATTTGATTATAATTTAATTTCATTATCTATCGTCTCAAAGTCATTATCTAACGTCTCAAAGACGTCATTATCTAACGTCTCATAGTCATTATCTAACGTCTCAAAGAGGAAAGTATCGTAATCTGCAACATCCCCTCAATAGATTCTTTGGTGAAGCTGAAGTCTACATAAACGTTCGGTAAAATGTTAATTCATGTTTCTGTCATCATTGAGCATGGAGACCGGTACTGCGGGTTATTTTGTCAAATAGTTCGGGTACATGTAGAGGTCAGAACCTGTACCTAAACCTCTGCACCTGTACCTGAACTTGATGTTACGTTTAGTCCGCACAGATTAGGTATCTAGATATGGATGTCATCCGCGTGCGTCCGAAAAAGAAAGTTTGCGATCACTGTGAACCAGGTACCAGGTACAGGTATGATACAAGTCTGTTCATCTACTTATTTGTTCAACTCTTGATCACCTAGATTTCACAATGAACTTTTTTGTTTAATTGTTTCTTCGCACGCTCGCATCAGTTTTGGGGTGCACAGAAGGCGCCCTTCATATAGTCAGATCAATATGGTCTTAAGTACGCAGTACTGAGCTGCCAACCGATCAGCTAGCCAGCTGACAGGTGTTTGTGGGCGCCATGGACCATCATGAGTGTCATGTTTTAATTTAGACCTAGAACGGGATGAAGTTGCTTCAGAGGAAAGGCATCATAAATTGCAGTAATTTTAAATGTGTAATATTATTATATATCATATAATATGTGTATATTTATACAGCACGATGTGGTGGGCTTAAGTAGAGACTTCGGTCTTGATTAGAGACTAGGAATACACCCACTGGCACACCGGAATCTGGCGCTGACGCGAGGATGAACATTAAGAGTATCTAACACAATATATCTTAAAATGTCTTTCACTCGTAACATGTGTCAACCGTCACAAGACATCTGCTTGGAAATGCAAATACAATCTTTATGTGAGAGACGTTTTACAATGGCTGTCGCATTCATCTAGTGTCTAATAATATCTAGAAACAAAGAGCAATTGCACGCGGAAACTTGAACGAAATGAAATCCATACACCTGTCTATAGCAACATTTCGAGCGCAATGGGATGCTTGCTATACCTGTCCCGGTATCTCTGATATAGGAGTAAATGAAAGACCTCATTGTAAATTTATGTCTCGAAGGACTAGGTACAAGCCATGTACCGTATTACCTAATAAACACATAACAGAAGAATCACAGTGCAGAAGCATATAGATATAGCCACGCGAAGGTGACTTAAGTGAAACACAAAGCAGAGGTCGGGAACAGAGAAAGTCGATCAGCTTATAAGAACTTCAGGGACTTGAATAAGAATAGTATTGACAGTAAGGCGCGGTCACATTCGTCGCACGATTGATGTACGATCGCAAAATTAGAGCATTCTTGTCAAAGTCGTGCATGCATATATTTCTTACGAACTTAATAAGATGTTATCTTATCTAAAATACAGTTTCAGATTCTTGTCGGCGCTTTTTTCTGTCACAGCCTGCTTGAAAATCCCACTATGTTAAAATCGTAGGACGACATGCGACAATTGACTGTCGTGTCATACCTTAGCTAGTCAACGAAAATGAAAACGAACTAAGCAAACAAGAAGCTTCTGCCTACCCCTGTGATCACCATAGCTTGTGATCCGTTCCGGCTCAGCCAGGCCCAGAGTAGAAACCCGAATAACGCCGCTGTCAGAACACGAAGCATGGTGACTCGGTGATCTGGTCTGATCTGATGTTATGTTCCTGACTGAACAGTGTTCTCTATGTTCTGTGACTAGTCGACAAGCAGAATTTATCGAGGAAATGACGCGGGGAGAAAAAAAAAAGGATTGAGAGTAGTCCTACGCACACGAGAGCCTCTTCAGTGTTTTACGTCAGCTCACTCATAATGATCGGGTTTGTTAAAGGTATGAGCACCAATTAGACTCGTGTTAAGATCAGAAATCGTACGTGTGCACCGGCATCACGTGGTGCATGTTAGAAGGTTGATTATAGAAAACGTGTATTTTCTTTTAATTATCACATGTACCATAGACTGGCGAATATATAGATACATTAAAAGAATGAGAGCGTGAAGGGCACCCTGTGATTGTCTTTTTTCAACTGTGTTCTCCCAAAGAAAAATGCCAGAATCGTCACTATGCGCATGTACATGTGTACGTGCCATGATGATTAGTTGTAGAGACCTTATTAGAGTGATATTTTGGCTAAGTGGTTTCGACCTGAACTTGACACAGGTTAACGGATATGACGCATGGACTTGATGGTTGAGGGATCTCGACCGGTCGACGTGACATTTGCTAAGATCACTCTTCTTACTTAAGGACAGTTGACAGTCTGTTAACAGCCCATACGTGAGTGTCGGGGATGCATTGGCTGATAAGATGGCCCGCATTTAAGTAAGAACAATCCCATAAACTACCCGATGGGGCATCGGTTTGTAAATTTCAATTACCAGTGGAGGTTACTCCTCCCTTGGACTGAGGCGTACATTAATTATGTTAAGTAGTTAAACGGCAATGCACTGGTTTATCTAAAGGCATAGACCTCTTGTCAAATCATTCTGTCATCTACATCACGTATGGAGCAACACCCCCCTTTCACAGCTATCTTCAAAATTCCAGAATATTCCACTGAAAACCATCGAATGTTCCATCGAAATCCTCTCAGGAAGTCCTTACACAGCGTCAACACGCTAATGTGACGCACGAAATTGACTACTCCAGGCCTGGATGTAGACGTGTTTTCCTCATTCCTTCTCTTTAGTATATCCACCGAACGACACTTCTTCGTACAAGTACTAACGTGGGTGAGCGTGAACTAATATATGCAAAAATCAGTCCTCCAGATCACTGAAGTAAATGTTAGCCATGCCTTTTCTCCATGCAAAAGCAAAGCGGAAAAAACAAAACAGTTTGTATCCATGGCCAGCAACACAACTCCTGAAAGACGCAACGGAAGTTACATGCAAGTGGTATGCATGCATAACGTACTTCAATAATTCGACTCCGTGTATTTCATCCTTTTCCTGAATTTGATTAGTAAAAGCTTTTAAAAGAGAAGCTTATCCAAGAAGGAATAGGTTCGTCAGTGTTTACAGATCGGGTACCGTTTGGAAGGATTAGTAGTAGATAAATGTTACACTGTTTCTAGAATTTGTTGTACTTCATGTTAGATATCATGATTCATTTCGAGTGTACAGTTTTTTTATAACCTCTTCTTAACAAAAGCAATATTCAAGACTTACAAACATTACGCTTGAAGAGGAACTTCTTACAGTTACTTCAATTCAGCGAGACAAATCTAGGGACCTGGTCCGGAAGCCTGGTCAACACCGGTGTTTTTAAAACGTAGATCTGCGCTGCTAATTCTGGGTCGCTCTCATCCGTGTGTCCTCAACACACGTTAAGCACACGTGTGATGGTTATTATTTAGAGGTCACCTTGGAATGTGATGGAAGCTCCACTGATGGTCATTAACAGCTACTAACATTAGTTATAACAACATCTATCTTTATATAACATTAAGGCATTGAGATTGAGCTCGAGTGTCCCACTTGTAAGTCCAAGTGATAACTGAAATGTTATTCCAGTTCAGCCACCTTTCATGAACATAGAAGTCGTCGTACCGTGTTGGGAATCTGGTGCTGTGGTTTAGGGTTATTGACCTGGAGTCTAAAGGTTCTATGTTCAATTAGCAAAACGCTTAAAGGTCCCAAAGCCATTGCGCTCACTGCAGTAACATTCTACTTGTTTCATTTTAACCTAACCTAGCAGGCCCCACTGTTGTGCCCTTCGAAATGGCACTTTGTACCTACATGTATTTCTCGACTAGCTGTGCTCTCTCTCTAGAATGCCTAGCTTCGGTTAGGGACGTCCTCTTTGGAGAGATGTAAAGCCGGAGGTCCTGTGTTTGAGGAGACACTGACATCGAGAGCGTTAAATAACCCACTAGATTTATCGGGCTCCATCTTGGTGTGAATGAATTAAGTATTACAGTCCGGTCTTACACGGTATGTGCCTACTGTACAAAACAGATGTGCATGTGTTATGCGTAAAGGTCCCGTAGACGTTGAACTCTCTGCACTCTCAGCGGCGTCTCTCCTAAACCAATTTAGATGCTTCGCTTTACAATTGGTAGTGAAATATGAATGTCTTTGCTTTTTGTGGCTTGTCCCAATGCGACCTGTATCTAATTCTCCTTGCTGGTGCCACCTGTTCAGTATCATAATTAAAGTATCGTTTTGTTTTATCTAGGAGGTTTAAACCTTAAGCATCCTTTCATGGATGCACATGCGAGTCAAGAGTTGCAATACGTTGCACTGTAGCAGTCTACCGCTAGAGGACACACGTGTACTGTGAGTCTGTCGGGCTGGATGGTGTGGGCTAAATCATAGTGTCATAACTTGAATCGGACAGGGTAATGGTCACATCAACGGTAGGATCTGATGTAGAGGGATTGGGGGATAAGCAGGTTGCGCCTACACTGCACGAAAAGTTGGATTTACCAAAGGTAATGTTTACTATGTACACAGTATCTGGCTTTACAATGGTAGTGAATAAAGTTCAACTGCAGTAAGTTCCTTTACAACCCTTGTTAAGTCTGGTATTACCTACTTGACATTTATTTACTGCCATTGTAAAGTTCAGAAGTGTTTATTAAAGAACAAATTAAACATTTCCCAACTATACTGGTGTCGGTAAATCTAAGTTTTCGTGCAGTGCTAGTTCTACGGCGAACAAGAGGATGATGCAAGATGTGCTCCGGATTATTATTATATTTTTAAGACATAGGTACCTTCTATTTAAACAATGACACGTTTTTAGAGAACAGCCTGTCGGAGTCACACAGTATTTTCGAGAGGATATTTGAACTTTCCATCAAGATTTGGACTTTTCACATTTCATACTTGATCGTGACACTGAAAAGCTTTCATCAATACCATTGTCAATGGTACACAGTTTTCAACAAATCTTTATTTCTGGCATTTCTAGGTCACTCTCTCAAATGTCAGCGTAACATTAAGAGATATAATGTCATCAATAATGCAAGATAGGTTTCATTAGAAAAGGGTATACATACTTACTCTATATCAGAAGTGCTGTTCTACTTCAGCGCAATGATTAATTAATCAGTGCCGTTCAAAATACGTACTGTTACGTTTCACTGTGAGTTCTATGACATCGTTCAGAAGGAAGCTTCAAAGCGTCAACCCACTGTTAATTTGGACTGCTGAAAATCACGGTGAATTCTTTATCTTTGTGGAATATAATTCTAACGCCTGATATTAAGTACAATGTATGCTCACTAAAATGGAGTGAAACGTTGTTTTAAATGAATAAGAATAAATCAAAGTAAACCCACCGCCGATAACCAATCGAGTGAACACTGTTTAATAGTCCTGTAGCACTGTATATCAAATGCCTGTTTCCTCTAGTTGGCCTAGGCAACATTGGCCATATGCCCCACATTTTTGCTGACTGAAAGTGTGGTTACACGCGATGCTGACAAAGTAACCCAAACGGCCCCAAAGGTTCTGTTCCATATCAGGGACTTTTGTCATCCCCCACCCCCTTCCTCTTCTCCCTTTTCTTCCTTCTTAACTTGAATTGATACCTCAGTCTACGGAGGTGATGTTTTCGGTGCCTCTGTGAGTTTATAATTTTGCTTGTGTTTCCTTCGTTATTTTAACATGCTAGGCACGCTGGGAATACTAACAGGAAGTTAGACCAAAGGTCCAAGGAACGGTCTTCAATTGATTATTTATCCATGATTATGCAAAAACGATCCTTATTTGCATAATCCATATAATATCCTTATAAGATCCGACTTTTTACAACAGCTTCTCACCTACCAAAAAGAGTTCCGAGATCTCATACCTCCATGAAATATGAGCTTGATATGTAAATGTAAATTTCTTCTTTAATTACGCAAATGACCTCTGCATTAACATAATATATGCGTCGTGATGTTAACTTTTGATTAACTTAAAGATGTCCCAAGTATGACATTCCCATCATTCACCATTGAGAAATCATAGATTTTTTGCATTAATTATGCAAATTAGGTCATCATTTGCATAATTAGTATCTGTTGATGTTCCATCTGCCATAGGTTACATACATTACATGTATGAAAGTTCTATAATGTAAAACACTGTAATTATAGAATTTCCTCATTAATTATGCAAATAAAGTCCTCATTTGCATAATTTGCAGTTAATTATGTACATCTCTCTGTCAGATACCTACACACCAAAAATGATGAAAATACGCTGTTCCTATCTGGACTTATTGGCTTTCAAAGATTTCGCCCGAAAGTCCCTTGCAGTTCCTGAACAAGCTGCTAGGGGGACCAAACCCACACCACTTATTCCTAACAGGAAAAGCTATCTGTCACCAAAAATTAGAAGACCATAGCATGTTCAGGACAAAAGATACAAAAACCGGAAGTTCTGCTGCAGTACTAAGGTCATCCACCAGGAGGCCCATATTTGACCTTGACCTTTGTCTTCCTAAGACTTATCAGCATACCAAATATCATCACAATCCATAAAGGCGTTATGAAGTTATGCTGACTACAAAGTTGCGGAAACACACACAGACACACAGACACACAGACACACAGACACACACACACACAGACACACAGACAGACGCCGCCAAAAACAATACCTCCATTTTTCATGGAGGTAAATATCATTAAGATCAA